TGTTTCAGGAGACAAACTCTGAAATTTCCATGCTACTGCCACTATTGAAGGCAGCATGGGACTGCTCCCCCACAAAATGTTCCAGAACAGAAAGCTGACTGGGGGCTTTTACCTCTCCTGGGCAGCCAGCCTATCATGAGCACCACCAAGACTGGGTCTAACCACCTTTCTTGCCAAGGAAAGGCACTCTTATCCCCTTCAGTAACTGGGGACTAACCAGGGGCCTTCACCTCCCTTGGGCAGCCTAGCATCTGCTGCCACTAAAGCTGGGGCTAGGTGCTTTCCTGCCGAGGAAAGGTATTTCCATCGCTTTTCAGGAGAAAGGTGCCAAAATGTGGATACCTCTCTCTGAAGGGAATGGGGCTGGGGATGCGTTCCTGCATGCACTCCCACATGAAAGGTGGCAGCAAAGAAAGCTTTTAGTGGCCATTATGTCCCCTGGCCAGCCTGTCTCCTATACCAATAATAGCAGGAGTTAAGTCCTTTCCATCCGAAGGAAAGGCTCTCTCATCTGCCTTCAGAAGCTCACCCCTGAAGTTGGGATGAAATCTCCAACTTTCCAAACATCTGCAGAGAGCTCACACAGAAATGGTAAGAAATAGAACAAGCTGTTGCAGGCCTTTAGCTCCCCTTGGAGAGAGGATGTGCCAGGGAGAGAGGTGCATTCCTCCCCAGGGAAAGGGACTTGCATCATCTCTCAGGATCCCAGAATTTGCAGACCCCATCCAAACTTGAAAGTATCTAGCAATTTCTCTCACACAAAACATGCCAGAACAGAAAGCTGTAGCTGGCCTTTCCCTCCCCCTGGCAGCCTATGGTGGGCACCACAAAGGTTGGGGCTAAGTTGCCAAGAAGAAAGGCACTGTCATTCCCTTCAGGAGTCCGCATCTGAAACTTTCACAGAGCAGGCAAAGCTTGAGAGGTTTGGGAAGGAGTTGCATGCAAAAGGTTCCAGGACAGAAAGCTGTCCTATCCTAGGCAGCTGGCAGCACCAGTGCTGGGTGCTGGGTGCTTGCCCTTGCCAAGGAAAGTCCTCGTCATCATCTCTCAGGAGCCCACTTCCCAGACCTTTATCAGTTTTTCAACAGTTCCCCATCATTAGGATTAATTGGCTGCCATCAACTTCAATGCAGTTAGATATAAGTATATTAGATATATGCAATTAGATATAAACTTAAACTGCTTTTCAGTATAAAAAAATAGCCAATAAAATTAGGAGTAACTTCTGCAGCCTTTTTGTAACTAGTTATATGAAACTTGTAAAGCTAGCAACTGTGCTTTAGAGAAATAATTGGAAATTATTAGGAAATCAATTCAAGGAGTTTGATGATCTTTCAAGATATTGATATGCTTTTATATAAATATGCACAAGTGCACTATAGCAGTCCTGAATTATTTGGCATGTACAACACTGACATAAGAGACCGGCTTAGGGCTGCCTGCTATGTAGTACAGACTGGATATGCACGTCTATCTGCTATCTTGAATGACACTTACGCAAATTCAGATTATTTGAGCTGGATCAGGCCCATAGAAATGGAAGCCTTAGTCACCTGGCCATATTTAAGCAGTGTCATGACATATTGCAACATGAAAAGTGACTGGAAACAATAAATTAAGGAATTATAGAGTCCATATAGAACGAGTGTTTCTGTCTGTATTTATTTTCCTGAAGGAAATCCCTATAGTGCTAGTCTGAAAAATCATGGGAGAATACAAAATTACTTTTCTTTGTCAAATAGCTACAGTTTGTCATAATTGCATAACAAAAGAAACCTGTTACCCATATGTCAGCCATGCTCTGATGCATTTGAGCTCTTCTGAAAGTAAAGCCAAAACCAGAATTACTACTTTGAGGCATCTCCCATACTTCTGCCATGGGGAGGTGGTGAAGGGCTTTGTCAGAGGCTCCGAGGTGCTGTGCATCCCCACTGGTGAAGGGGCACAGAGGATCAGGGCGCGGTGCGATGACATGTACTTTGCATGGGGCTGTGTTGTGGCACTTTGGAAAGTGTCAGCTCTTACAAACTAGTTGTGCTCCAACAGTTTAAGTCAAAGGGACCATGCACTGTTAGTGGCTGAAAGAAAGGAAATGTAAAGCAAACAATGCAGATAGTAAAAAGTGGAGCAATAGCAGTTGTCCTAAAGATTACTGTATTTTCCCATTGCCCTTCTCTGTTTGACTTGTCTGAATACAGATAGAGGTGTAATTCAAATAGATTTCACTCATTTTTAAAGATAGGCTGAAGTCAGCAGGCTTTTCGCACAAGTCCTACCAGGCACTCCTTGATCTTAAGGTACTGGATATGTGAAAATATCTGTTAATATAAACTTACTGGGTTTTCCATTTATGGTTTTTATATGACTTATTAGTATTAGGGAATGGAGGAGGGAAGTTTTTTCAGCATATGAACTAGGCTAGAAATTCACTAACTAAATTCTTCAGAATCAGCACAAAACCATGCATGAAGAACTCTAACCAGAAGTTAGACTCTGTGTGTGTGTGTGTGTGTGTGTGTGTGTGTGTGTTTATGAAGTTAAAGTCAAACAGTTGTTTGGTTAAAGCCTTAGATTTATTCCTTTCAGCCAGGAAAGGGAACCTATTCTAGTTCAGATTCATAGGTTTTTAAGTAAATCCTAGCAATCCTGAATGTGAATAACTTAAAATGCAACACAAAAAAAAGGCAAGTGATTAAAATAATAATTTAATTAATTTTTACATATTAGGCTAAAAAATAGCCTCTTAATCTTGTATTATACATGTTCAACTAAGTCTCAATTTTCTTGGTATATGTGGAAGAGAATTCAAATAAGAGATAATAAGAGCTCATCAGGGAACTAAAAGGAAAGACATGTTATGCACACTTTCAAAGACAACTTTTATGAAGAGATTCTTTGTATAGTTGTTCTTGAATACCATAAATAATAAAAAAAATCAGATATTTAGGTCAGTACTTCAGGCCTTTTAAACAAATATTTTATTTGTTGTAGACTTGCTTTTTGAATGTACTGTGTCATTGTTCTCTCCTTGTCTTCACAATCAGCTGTTTCATGTAGGGCAGCTTTTTCTCATAATTGGTTGTTTCTTGTAGCTATTTTTTAAGGATGTAGAGGCCTCACCAAGAGATCTGGGTAGACTACACAGCTGGGCAACCACCAACCACTTGAAATTTAACAAGAGCAAATTGCTAAATTCTCCACCTGGGATGGAGTAATCCTGGGTATGTGTACAAACTGGGGGATGAGAGGCTGGAGAATAGCCTCAGAGAAAGGGACCTGGTCAGTGGCAAGTTGACTATGAATGAGCAGTGTGCCCTGGCAGCTAGGAGGGCCAACTGTGCACTATGATGCATCAGGCAGTGTTGCCAGCTGTGCAAAGGGAGGTGATTCTTCTGTTCTACCCTGCACTGATTGTCTCCACTTCAAGTACTGCATATAGTTTGAGTGCCTCAATATAATCAAACTCTAGAGTGTGTCCAGAGGAGAGGGTCCAGGGTGGGGAAAGGCCTTGAGGGCAAGACTTCTGAGGAGCAGCTGAGGTTACTTGGTTTGTTCAGCTTGGAGGAGCACAGGCATGACCCCCATCAGAGCACACAGCTTCCTCAAGCGGGGCAGGAAAGGGGGAGCTGCTGACCTCCTCTCTTTGGGGACCAGCAGCAGGAACAAGGAAAGAGAATAAAGAAGCTGCTTTAAGGGAAACTCAGACTGGACATTAAGAAAAGGTTCTTTGCCCAGAGGATGTTTGGTCACTGGAACAGGTTCTCCAGGGAACTGGTCACAGCACCAAGTCTGTCAGAGTTCAAGAAGCAGCTGATGATGCTCTTAATCATATGGTTTAGTTTTAGGTTGTTCTAGCAGGGATAGGACAGATTGATAGTTGGATTCAGTAATCCTTATGGGTCCCTTCTAACTTAAGATATGATACAATTTTCTTGTTTTACCTTTTACTTTTCAGTAAAATGTTTAAACTGAATCTACTGATATATAGATTGGTCATATTAAAAAAAGAAAACCCCCACAATTTCCAAAGCATGACTACTTATGAATTTCAGTCTAAAAATTTTATTTTCATGTCAGTCATCTATAGAGTAGCTTGAAAATCATGATCCTGTTGTAAAAGTACTGGCCTAGTCCACCCATTTCTTTTAAAAATTGTATCTGTGTTGAAACTCAAACAATGACATTCTTTTTTTTAATAAGATGGCTTGGAACAAAAAAAAAGGTAGTGTTTAGAGCAGTGTCAGAAGCATAAAAGCATGTCATTTTAGAAACACAGAATGTTGTCTTTCCAACTTCATAACAACAAATGTATTCTGTCTCTGTGATTGTTTTCTAGTGTTCTGTAGTGCACTCTTTTTCACTTGCTACTGTGAAGCTAGATCAGCTTTTAAGTATTGCTTGTCTCCTCTCTTTTCAGAGGCACTTAATCCAGCAATTCAAGAAGGCATTGAAGGAGCGAAAACACAGCTGAACATCTTAAACTCAAATAAGACAACTTCATTTATCTTCCAGAAGGCAAACCAGTAAACCTTAGTGGTTTAACAAAACCATGTGGGTTTTTTTCCTCTCCTGGAGCTCTTTGTACCAGCATTGATCATGCATCATTTGATATATGACACTTGTGTGTGTGTACTGAGTCTGGCTGGGATGGAGTTAATTTTCTTCATAGCAGATCTTACGGTGTTGTGCTTCAGATTTCCCATGAAAACAGTGAACGTAACACACTGTTTCAGCTATTTCTGAATGGTCCTGGCATAGCATCAAAGCCTTCTCTGTTTCTTGCTCTGCTCCCTCAGTGAATAGATTAGGACTGTGCAAGATGTTGGGAGGGGACACAACTGAAAAAATACCCTGAACTAACCAGAGCTATTCCATGCTATATAATGGTCATGCTGAGCAATTCCTTCCCCCTCCCCTCCCCTCCCCTCCTCCTCCCCTCCCCTCCCCTCCCCTCCTCCTCCCCTCCCCTCCCCTCCTCCTCCTCCCCTTGTCTTCCACTTCTCTTTTGCTTATTGATTTTTTTTTCTTGACCCACAAATGCTCTTGCTTTTATTTTGCTGTTCTTCTTTTCCTGTCCCACTCACTGTGGGGATGTGGGAGAAGTGAGCAAGTAGCTGTATTACACCTAACTGTTTGTCGGCAGAACATGTGGAGCTAATTGGGACTGGAACTGAATGCTAAAACCATATGAGATGATTTAGATTTGTTTATGTTACTTGATCATTTAACCAGTCATGCAAAAAAGAGAAAGATGGTTTAGATCTTTATGGAAAACTCATGCATCCAAATGCTAACAATCATTTAGATATCTTAGTACGTGTGGAACAAGACTAAAGGGAATTGTCACCTTTTCTGCCCCTGAGATGTGTAGTGTAGAGTTAAAAAATTCAATGACGACTATCAGGGTTTCAGATGTAATTTTATGTCTCTCTTATGTTCACCCTGTAGGTAGCACTTTAGAAATTTTTTATGTTGATGGAGTAAAAAATACACCTGTGGTGCAGGATGCCAACAATTTGATAACAGAAACAAGAATAATTCACAATAGTTCCTATTTTTGATATCTTGCACAGCTGTCATGGTTGTAGCTGTCATTTTAATTGGAATTACTTATTGCGGTTTTAATTGAAATAGAGGAAATTACTGTTACTCATTGAGTTACTGGAACGTGAGATACTTCTGTGTAGTTGACTGTGTATATGACAACACATAATTCTGTGTAGTTGCCTTCTGAGGAAATGTTTCACAGAAGTTGAGGAAGTGAGAAAGTTAGGCAGAAAGTTGGTACACTGCAAGAATTCAGGCTTAAAGAGTGCAGAGCTAGTACAACAGTACTTCTACTTTCTGGCCTCTAAGGCAGAGGAGATAACTAAAGGCAACTGGCATTTTGGCTACTGTTAGAAGCTGCCTAGATGAGGAAAAACTCTGGTTTGTTCACTGTACTGACAGTGAAATGAGTGACTCCAGGCTGAAGTTAAAGTGTAAGGCACAGAAAAATCCTGTCAGCCCTCTGCACTAAGTGCAACTCAGATCCGAATTTTTGGCTGCATATCAGTGACAGTTTTTGGGAATTAAGTTATGGCAGTCAGGTGAAGATTCTGGTGACTGGAAGAAGGGAAATAATCTATTTTTAAAAAGGGTAGGAAGTAGTACCCTGGGAGTACATCCGTTCCAGTGCCTCACCACCCTTACAGTGAAGAATTTCATCATAATATGTATTTTAAACCTACATACTTGTCTAATCACTGCATGCCCTTGTAAGACTCTGGCCCCATGGAGCTGCCAGCTCACCAGCTTGGATAGAAGTTTTACTTAAATATATAGATATAGGGTTCTTTAATACCTCAAGATAGCATCAAGAGAATAAGCCATGAGCTTGTTCTCAAGGGATTTCTTTATTAAGTTAGGGGAGCAAATAAAGTAACTTGGCCAAAGTTGAAAAGGACACAACACAAGCCAGACAAAAATGTTCTACCACAATACTAACTCAGCATACACTATTAATCCACAACACTGAAGGCAAAATCCAACTAATTCCACAACACTTACATCAAGATCCAACCCCTCCAGCTCCAGGACACCCTAAGCATCAAGAACAGAGAAGCAGAGGGAGCAAGGAGAGAAAAGGAGAGAAAGGGAGAGACAGCTACCACTGGAATCTTGTAGAAGATCAGCTCTCACAAGTCCAAGTGGCAGGGTCATGACACGAGGCAAACACGTGCCTGTGCTTTTATCTGGGGTTCCAGGCCAGGGTGAGGGGCATTGTTCTCACAGTCCTTGTCAATGTGAGGCTGGGTTAGGAGCTCCAGGAGGTGTGGTGTGTTATAGTTTGCCCAGGCTGTTTACACATGATACAAAACTGCATGGTCGAGCTGACACACCTGAGAGACAGGATGCCATCTAGAGGGACCTGGACAAGCTCGAGAAATGGGCCCATGGGAACATCATGAAGTTCAACAAGTTCAAGTGCAAGATGGTGCACCTGGGTTGGGGCAATTCCCAATCCCAGTATAGGCTGGGGGATGAGCAGATTGAGAGCAGCCTTGCTGAGAAGGACTTGGTGAATGAGAGCCTGGACATAAGGCAGCAATGTGAGCTTGCAACACAGAAAGCCAACCACACCTTATGCTGCATCAAAAGCAGAGTGACCAGCAGCTTAAGGGAGATGACTCTGCACCTTTACTACCCTATAGTGAGAGGGGTACCTGGAGTACTGCATACAGTTCTGGGGTCCTCAGCACAGGAAAGACCAGTTGAAGTATGTCCAAAGAAGCCCACAAAGATTATCTGAGTAATGGAACACCTCCTGTGAGGAAAGACTGAGAGAGTTAGAGTTGTTCAGCCTTGGAGAAGGAAGGTTCTGGGAAGCAGGCTTTTTGTCACTTTCAATATTTTGAGCAGGGCTATAAGAAAGATGGGGACAAATTTTTTGTCAACACCTGTTGCAATAGGAAAAGTGGTAATAGTTTCAAACTAAAGGAGTCTGGCATTAACCAGACCAGAGAGGTTATGGATACTCCATCCCTGGAAACATTCAAAATCAGGTTAGACAGGGCTCTGAGCAACCTGATCTACTTTAAGATGTCCCTGATTGATTACTGGGGGTTTGGACAAGATGATCATTAAAGGTCTCTTCCAAGTCCAACCATTCTCTCTGTGATTCTCAGAACAATACGTCAACAATTCAGTAGATATTGAGTATTTATTATAAGTTATTGAGGCCCTTCCCACTCTGAAATATTTGCACAGATAAACAGAAGGGGTGATTTGGAAAAGTGATTTGGAAAATATTGGTAAAATTGTATAGCAGGTATGTATATATGGTGTCTATATAGTGTATATACAGCGTATGTGCTTCTAAATTGCACCCCTACATGATAGCCTTATGGGAATTCTCTGTTGTGGGCACTGTCAACCTGCTATAGCTTTAATTCATGTTTTAACTTGCTGCCAATCTCATAGGGTGTTTGGGAAAAGACCTTGAGCAATTAAGCAGTTCTTATAGCTCTGCAGGACTTGAATCAAAACTTGATTATTTGTATGAATTGCTCATTAGTCCCATTGACAGCAAAGATAGAAGGGATACACACATCTTGAGGGAGGAAAGAATGATTGCTATAGAAGTATTTATTAGAATAAACAGCATTATGTTGCTATGGTTGTTTATAAATGTAATTCTCCACTGACAATGTCAGATTTATCCTAACCATCATCTGGATATTTTAAACCTTTCTCATAGGAAAATATTAAAATTAAATTAACTTACCTGCTGTCAGGTATACTTACAAAAAACCCCAACCCAACTCAAGAACATGAAACACAACAAAGAAATTCAATCAAACTTCCCCCTCCCCCTCCCAAAGAACTCCCTTCCCCTAAACCACAAAACCTACCAAGAACAATGTAATGGACTCCTACTTCATTCATGTTTGGAAATCTGTACAACAATTTTAATGAAATTGAGTTCCTTTTTTCCCACATCAAAACTGATGGGTGATGGGAGATTTTTTTTTCAAACTTTTTTCTCCCCAGTGTAGGGAGGCGTACTTGAGAATATAGCAATGTCAGGCTCTTACTTTTTATTTTACTTTTATGGAAGAGTAAATAATAGCCATGCTTGTCAATGTATTGTATTGTTGAGAACTCACTAAAAGAAAAAATTATTGACTGTAGTATTGTAGCTAAGATCATAGTTGCCTTTTAAAATTATTTTATATCAGTACTTCCATGTGTTTGTTGCAGAAATCACAGTGTTTTAAGTTGGTTGTCTACCCTTTTCTGTAGCAGCAAATCATAAGCACACAGTGCTTTCCTTGGTGGGTTTGCAGGAGTGTGATATAACAAATGTGCCAGGCCTCCTCATATTTATATTTTGACCATTGTTAACATACCACAGAGGTATGGCCTGCTTGATTTCAGCACATGTTTCACAGTTATGGATAACCTGGTGTCCAGGGTTAAGTCGACCCTCAGTCACGAGCCCACCTCTATGTTGCATCTCTTCCCTGCTGACCTGGGGTGTCAGAAATAATTCACCCTTATGTTGCCAGTCCAGATCCATCTGTGATACTTTAACCTTGGCAGCCCAATCCACTTGCCCATTGCTGTGATGTTCTTCAGTAGCCCAACTCTTGGCTTCTATAGCCCGACATGTGCATCTACATGACGTAGTTTTACAATCAAAGGTCTCTACTTGGGCAGCCATATCTTGCCACAATTCATCAGCCCAGATGGGTTTACCTCTCTGCTGCCAGTTTGTCTTCTTCCATCATTTCGCCACCCCCACAAAGCATTTGCCATCATCCATGAGTCAGTGCAAAGGTACAGCGCTGGCCATTTCTCTCATTCAACAATATCTAAAGCCAACTGGATGGCTTTCAGCTCTGCAACCTGACTTGATCCACCTTGTCCCTCAATAGCTGAGATTTGCCTCCTAAGACTCCAGACGTCAGCTTTTCATTTTCAATGTATCCCTAGATTAAAACAGGAACATCAGTAAAAGGAGTGTATTGCTTTCTATTTTCTGATTGCTGGATGGGGCCTCCTCAGCACGTGTCACTTTTTCCTCCTCCAGTGATGATGATAGTCTAAAATTTCCCTTTTGGGACCGTTTGTGATGACTTCCAAGATCCTGGTCGATTGGGGTTTCCTATTTGAGCTTGCTGTGTGATTAATGTGACCCACTTACTCCATAGCTATATGGAGTTGCATGATCTGTAGAAGGGAGTATACCCTTCATAAGCTTCCAGTATCTCTTTCAGTTGGGGTGTAACAGGCTGTGGATACTTTGTACTGCTGGTTCTAGAACCCCAGTGGTCATCCTTGACTCTCCCTGGTGCTTTTTGCCAGAGACTCCAGGAAGGGCCATTCTCCCCAGCTGCACTGCAGAGAACATTTTTCATCTCTTGTCCTGTCTTGACTGGCCTAAGGGCTACTGCATGAACAATATCCTATGTAATTTATTCAAAAGCTTGTTGCTCAGGAACCCACTTAAAATCGTTCTTCCTTGTCACATGATAGAAAGGGATTACAATCCAACTCTAATCTGGAATATGCATCCTCCAAAAACCCATAGTAGAAGGATGAAAGAGAAATTATAAACAGAAGGCTGTACTTGTTAGTACAATGTTTAGAGATGTATTATCTGTTGATCTATAGGAGTTTTGGAAAGATTTGTGTTTTTAGGGAGAGTAGAACTTTGTAAACGTTGCTGAAAATGACCATTAATATATGATTATTTACATACCTGAAGGTGCTGACTTCATGTAAGGGTCATCTTCTTTAATATCTGAGAATTTAATTCTGCTTTCTTTTTCATGCCTGAGAGTTGCAAAGTGTAGTAGTATCTTTTTATTATTATTATTTGTTTTGAGTGTATGATTACCTTGCATTTCTATAGTGCATAGATTTGGCACTGAAAGAAGGTAAAATCCAGTGCCACAAATACAGTGTGAGTTATATTTGGACTTTTTGGTGTTTTGTTACTCATGATGAGATACTAAAATTACTAACTTAGGTTTTTGCATCAGAAAAAAGAAAAACTGGGAATTGATGACAAGAAGGAGAAGAAAGGATTCAGAAAACATAATTGGATGAGGATTCTAGACATGACACACAGTGAGCAACAATGGAGAAACATTAGAAAAAAAATGGAGCAAGAAGAACAAGAAATATTTAGTATAGTGGTTCTTAGATAAGTATGGTACCTTGACTCTACTTGAAAAGGAAAATCTGACTACCTAGATGCTAAGTAAGCAATATAAATTAGGTAGAATAAAATAATACTTATTTCCCTTTTTACTATTTAATTAAATGTGTAATATAGCCCTTCAAAATAATGCAAAGAGATAATAAGTCCATCTGTTTGTTTGTTAAGGTCCAAGAGGAGATGTCCCTCAATTACAGAGCTAAATCTGAAAAGGGATGATGGGGGAAAAAAATTCCCAGTTACTGCCTTCTTTGCAACATATCTTCTCCAAGGGGAAAAATTGTCTTTTGTCGTGTTAACAATTAATGAAATCATAACATCTATGGTACAATCTGCCAAAATGTGTTAGGTAACTTCCTAGATATTTCTGATCAGTAGTCAACAATCAGTTAAATAGGAACATGCACTATGGCACATTGCTTTAACCATTTCTTGACCTGCCAGATTCATATGCCTATTTCATAATAATATAATTTCATAATCTGAGAGCCCATAAAATAAATGCTCATTACATCTATCACAATGGTTTCAGACTGCTCAGGCATAGCTAGGAGTAAGCCTTTGAAATGTGAGGAGGCAAGTCAGGTCAAAGCAAATTCTTACAGTTGCATTGTAAGCCACTAGCAACAATAATAAAGCATATTGTTAATTCACACAAGTTTAGGAAAGCAGGATAGCAGTATGACCTTTCAAACTGATTTTTCACTCCTTTTTCCCCCTTCCAATTTTTCAAAATTTGAAGTGAAAGATAACATGCATCTTTCCAGAGTACCTTGATGTTGTACAACTTTTGATGAATATAACTACTTGTTTTGGCTTTTGTGAAGTCACATGACATTCCTCTCTCTTACTGGAGGTGAAATGACTAGAAGGACAAAATTCAAACCTCTCCATAAAACTTCATTAATCTTACAGATGGAACTATCTTTAGAAATACTTAATGCAAAAAATTCCACTGAGGTATTGAGCCATAAAAAATGGGTATTTTCACACAATTCCTTTGTAGACACTAAATCTAATTGGTTTATTATTCTAGAGCAGTTCTTTTCACTGGAAGTCTAAAGGAACTCTGAAGGAACTCTGAAGGTGAATGAAACTTAACAAATAACAGCATTTTTAAGACAGGTAAAGAATTTATTCTTTCACAACAAAGAGTCACAAAGCATACTTTTCTTTAAAATTATGTTTTATCATAATAATAATAATAATTATTAAAAATCATATTTCGGTGTTCTTTTAAGTTATCACATAAGTGCTAAATATCCCCTTTCTGAACACCCTGAACCATTTATAATAGAAATAGAAAAGCTGCTTGGGGCACTTGTGTGCGTGTGCCATGCTTACTAACAATACTCCCCTTTGTGGTAAATCCAGTACAATGAAAGATTATTTGACAAACGTAGTAAATATTGATCAGAGGCTGATATATAAAATATTTTAGTTATATTTCACACAAACTGTGAATACAATATAGTTGTGAGGAGTAGTCACAATCAGAAATCTTAAAACTTCACATCATAGATGACTAAATTCCCTGGAGAGTACGCTATAAAGATTATAAAGAGAAATGTGTTGGCTTCAGGGAACACAGATGCACCGGGTGACACCAGTGAAGAAAATCTAGGTAAAGTCAGCCAAGTTGCCTCCTCTGTCATGAATTGCTGAGTAACTATAATCACAAAGCAGTAAACTACTGTCACCCTATCCCAGTGGCATTCATAAAGTAGATACATTCATTTTGCTTATCACATTTCTGGTAGTGATTGGCAAAGTTCTTAATAAGTATGTGTGCATGGTTTGAAACAAAGTTTGTATTATTTATAATGCACACAAATACATATTGGGAAAGGAATTATTCTCCACACAAATGCACAGAAACATAATCTCTTAACCAGACTATATCTGGAAAGCTACTTAAAAGTCTAGAAAGCATTTATGCAAAGCATTTAAAAACTATTCTACTCTCACAATAACTATTAGAAAAAAATTTGGAGGTCAGCATGCTAGCAAGTAACTAAACATCCTTAACTAAATTGCTGTAATTTCATAGGAAAAGCAACAGAGCAGGACCAATTTACTATTAGTAAGTTAGTAAAAAGTTATCTAAATGAATAACTTTCATCATCATATTCAAGTTCATCTTCCTCGTCATCCTCCAAAAGTCCATATTTAAATTTGCGATAGATTGTACCATCCTGGCTCATGTATACAATGTCATCTTCATCATCATCATCGTCATTATCTCTATCTCGGTACTCAATCACTTGATCCTCCTGGTAACTGGTACTCTTGTGGTAGTTGCTCACAGAGGAAGGAAAGGTTTTGGAGTGATTTGTCAGTTTTTCATACCCACCTTTATTGACAGCCTGGGTTTTGGCTCTTGATCGTCTCCAGATGAATACAATGGCTCCGATGACAAGGAGAAGCAAAATGCAGGTGATAACAAAGAAAGCAGTTTTGCTTTTTCTCTTGGGGGGTACAGTGGTCTGTAATACACAGTCATCTACAACAGCAGTTAAAAAGAAAATAAAAAAGATGAAATGAGCTTGTGTGTGTGGTATATCTGTCTTAAAAAGCCCAATACAGTGTTTAGGACTGTATTCAACTAAATAGCTTACTTTCCCAGTAGCATAACTGTACTTTTGTAGCTGTGATGCTGTAAGAATGTCAACAAGGTTATTGGGGATTCAAAATAATCAGAAAGAAGCATGCTAGCAGGCACACAAATTAAATTATTCAGATTTCTACTCATTGAAGCGAGCACTTCTCAGTCACCTGGTTTATAAAATGCTTGGCCATTTAAAATAATGGTTGTGAGTGAGAGAAGTTGCCCTCTCCAGCATCAGCCACGATTGTTGTTATTTTTGTAAAACTTTCACATTCTGGTGATGGAGCAGTAGAAACACACTGCCAAATCTCAGCAGCACATTTTTGGTCTATTCCCCTTATGATTTTTAAATGTCAGCCTAATCAGCCATAAAACCCTTCAGCACTATTACTGCTCTTCAGCATGGTCCTACCTTGTGTTTCACTGCAGTCACAGCACTCTACGTTGCCTGCTGGATCAGAGTCATTGCAGCAGGGCAGGCAGCGGCTTTCCTCTAGGTAGAGCTGCATGCTGGCTGGACAGACTGTGCAGTTGAAAGGACCAGGTCCCTTGCACTCAGTGCATGAGCTGTCGCATTTCTCACACTTGGGTTCATCCTCCTTCAAACACAAAACAGAAGCAATGCGCCTTTCATTTTGGATTCTTGGGGTCTGACCTGGTAGTTCTGTCCTGTCGTTCACTATCTGGGTGGTCATCTCTGGGCACCATGAGTGTCAATGGCAAAATACAGTAGCAAATCTAAAATTTCCTGTTTCCTGAGTTCTTGGTGATCTGCTTGTAGGGAGATGGATAATTTGTTGTAGGAGCTTAGAGATCTCACCTAGCTAGACAGGAAGATAAAGTTTATTCACACTGTAAGTGCTTTGGGCCAGAAAGTGTGTTTTTGTTTTACCAGTCCCACACTAGCAGATCTAAGGTAGTTTGGCAGTAATGATGGTAAAGCGACTTTCCAGAAGCATGCTCAACAGTATCACTAAAAGTAACTGACATGGAAGAAGCAACATGAAATATTCTAGGGGTGGGGGGGGGAAGAGAGCTGAAAGAATGCATTTCCTTTCTAACCGGAGAATGAGCAGAAGTAAAGAATAAAGATGGCTAGAAATTTTCTAGCAAAAGAGATTTCTATTAGATTGTGTTGGTTCTTTTCTACAAAAACAGCTTAGATTCAAATACTCCTCTCAAATTCCAGATAGGCCCTAGGAGCCTTTGTGACACCAAAGGTCACTGTGGTTACACCTGCCTTGCAGAATGCTCTGAGGTGGGGTGTTTCAGGGTTTTCAGCATTCACAGTTCCTGGCTTACTGAGGAAAACACTTTATTTTTCTGCTGTGGGACCAAGTACCCCACTGTGAGGATTTGGAAACTCTGATAAACTTTCACCGAACTTGCTGTCAGACTTGCAAGGCTGCTTATCCTGGATTGAAAAACCTGTGCAAGACGGGAGGATCACAGCAGATCATAATTTCTTAGAGTCAAAGCTTTTGAAAAGACCTGCAGACCTCTGTGGTCCCAGCTCTTAGGTTGTTTTCTTGCTGGTGTGAAGTAGCACTACTAAAGGGGTATTCCAGGCCAGAGATTTCAGGGTATGCAACATCTCAGGCAAGCTGCTATGCCTTTTTGATATACTCTTGAATAAACATTTTTGGAAGGCAGTTGGTGTGGAAATCTGGAAGCTGGAGTGCCCAGACTTGTGGCACAGAACCAAATCCAACTGTGGTCCTATTCTACTAAATATACAGCTCTGTTAACTTTAGCCTGTCCGCCCACTAGAGCTTTCTGCCAGCAAAGCTGTCAATCAGAAATGCAAAATGATTTCTTACAGAAAAGGCATCAGAAATCCATGGGCAAATCTCAGTTATGCTGAAATATGTAGTGATACTACCTCTATCACTAATATAGTTGATTCTGTTCACATGATATCAAATCATCAAACAATGCTTTGATATCATTGTTGACTATAGAGGATTACTCTATAGTTGACAACCCCAGAAAGAGAAACAATGTTTCCTCTGCCAAGACAACAAACAAGTAAACATACCTTAAAGATAAGCACACTTAAAAACTCATGAAGAACAATCTGTTCCTAGCACTGTGTAATATTTACAGGAGAAAAAACCTACAAAGAGGTACCTCTTGTCCTGGTGTCTCCTGGACTTTGTATTCACCTACAAAACAGTCCGAGTTGCACATTCCACCTAATAAACTGTAGCTCCATACACAAGATGTGCAGCTGAATGCTCCCTTCCCTAGAAGGGCAAATGAAACAAGATTACAACAGGAAAAACTGACAGCTAACATCCTTTAAAAATCATACTGACCACTACCACGAAACAAAAGGCTATTTGTCAACAGCAAGAATCACTGGTGAGGAGTTCATGAAGAGTTTGGTATTAGAAAGAGGTTGGTATTAGAAGAAGTTTTGGCCTTATCTTGGGTTTTTTTTATGTGCCCACAAAATGTATTTATGTGGTTTTATATTCATGAGAAGATGATTCTGGAATCAGTTGTACAGGGAAGCTCTGACACATTCAGGAAACTCAGTTGTGTCAGTGCGCTAAAGTAAAATTCTGGAGAACCTTAGCTAAAAGCTGTGCTTCACAAAATCCATACTTATTAGCCCTGCATACTAACTGATTAATGCTGCTTGCTTCAGAACTAGATTAATTAGGAAAACTAGGAAACTGAATACATAAGTATTCACTATATTAAAAGCAGCAGGCATCACTGTGCTCCTTGCTTTCCCCCCCCCGCTAAAGATATGCTATATGGGTCTTTACTCTTCCCATTGCAGACTGTAAAGACATGTGATTTAAATTACGTTCTTTGGTTTGGCTTTCACAGAGTAGCATATAGTAGGATAGCTCGGAGAGTAAGGTATATTTCACTCATTATTCAATATTTGTGTGAGAAATGAGGTCCAGCTCTGTAACTAATAGAGCCCATGTTTTGAAGCTGGTGAGCATCTTTGAGAGATGCTAGGCTGATGGAAAATTCATTACCATTGTCCATTTGTTTCCCTTCATTGACCTGGCAACAGGACTGAGTCCCAGCCCTATCTGTTAAGTGGTTGTCTTTACATTTGTGCTCTGTGCTCGAGGAAGCCCTGTGGAGAGCTTGGCAGGAATTCACACCCTTGTTTTCATCTCAGTTGTTCAATACTGTACGAGTAAGGTGGCAGCAGGGAGCAGTTAGTGCAGCAAGTCACCCAGGGCCAGGGAGAGGTCTGCATCACCCACTGTAGCTACCTAGGTCGTCGCCAGGTTTGTAGCACTGTACGTGTAATGTATCTTTGTGAAGTGCTTCCAAATCTTGAAGCAGAGATTACAGGTGTTTTGGTGACCATTTTTTTGCTCAAAGCAGAGTGTATGATTTTACCTTCACAAGTTAGACAGGAAGGGTGGCATCTTTCACAGACATTGTTGTCCTTGTTTTCGTAGTAGTACTGAGGACAAGAGCTAACACATTCATTCTTGGAGTGCAACAGGTAGAAATATGTATCACATAAAAGACAATCTGTGGGCTGAGGCCCCATACACTCCTTACAACTCTTGTGGCATCTCTCACATAATCCAGTGGATTTTTGTGCAAAATACCTGAAACAGATCAGATAGTCATAGCTTTGCATAAAGCTCAGTAGTGACAGGAAAACCAAAATATATTTAATTCTTAGCTTTTTACTGTGATTACATCAATGTATAAAAATTATATTAATGTGAACACAGTAATTACTTGCAATCTCAGTGAAAATAGAATTAATTTTCTTTTAATTTTCCCTGGTTATTGGAGTTCAGCTATAGAGCAAGACTTTGTAAATTGTAGGTGTATAAAGCAATACTTTCTAAAACGTAGAGTGACTTCAGTCACAAAGTATATAAATAGGCAGGGCTCAAAAAAGCTCAGCTCTGTTTTGACTCTATTCACCTAAGTTATGCTCTCAGGGAAAAAGAAGAATTGATATATTGGGGTTTTGCTAAGATGTGGTCATTGTGGACTTCCAGTTTAATGGGATGATAATTTAACAGCCAGTGTGATTGTACTTTTCTTTTAAACTAAATGGACCTGAAACAGAAATCATAGGTCCATTTCTAAATTTGAATTTCTAAGATGTAGTCACAAGAGCACACTGAATTCACATTTTGAACTTAAATGGATTCATCAAAGAAGTTTCTGTCTAGAATTATGAGTGCTCAGCTGGGAGGTGTTTTAATGGTTGTTTTTATTATGACCCATTATAAACATTCACACAATGCAAAAAAATAGTAACTTCATCCAAACTTCAGTGGAAGCTGCAAAGGTTCTTGAGGAAAGTTACACTACTTCCTGTTCTCAAGCTGACAGACAGATAACTTTATATACTTATTCTGGTTCACACTGTTCTGTATACATATAGCCTCAGATCACCTTTGGAGTATAACAATGACCACACCACATCAAAATGGTCCCAACTTGGGCAACAACGGAGAGTTTTCTACTTTGAGGGGAGGTTTTCCACCACCTCTGTGCTGGGACAACATAAGAAATTTTCACCTGAAACAAAACATAGTTCTATTCCACACTGAAATAGAATACCTCAGTGTGATCTAATTTCTTAAAGCTCTCTCTGTGACGCAGATCTTACCAAAAGATCTTGGACCTTACCCTGATGGACACTGGTTTACACATCTGTTTCCTTGTCTGTACCAACCCGGTTTGCAGGAAAGGCACTGCGAGCTGTATTTTCCAGTGCAAGTGACACAGGCACTGTGGCATGCAGAACACTGCCCCTCATCGCTATCAGCATAATATCCATCTGGGCATGTTTTAACACAGGTTGTATCTGTACAGACAACAATGCAGAATAACACATCATATTCAGTATCTGCTACTATAAAACATCTCATACAGTTGTGCTAGAGCAAACTCTGTAACAGGAGATGCTGATAGGCATGTACCAGAA